AATAAGAGAAGACAAGAGAGAAAAGGGAATAAGAGAAGACAAGACGAGAGAAAAGGGAATAGGAGAAGACAAGATGAGAGAAAACGGAATAAGAGAAGACAAGGTGAGAGAAGAGGGAATAAAAGACGAGAAGAGAAGAGAGATTGAGAGAACTGGCAATCGTCCAATGATGATGAAGATTATAAGGTACGGGAGGCGTGGGCGGCCCGGCGTGGTGGTGGCGTGGGGGGGGGGGGTAGATGGGCGGTTGCTATGCAGTGATTTTAAATAACGCATCTACTGTTAACATCTCTTCGTCTCTCTCTCTCTCTCTCTCTCTCTCTCTCTCTCTCTCTCTCTCTCTCTCTCTCTCTCTCTCTCTCCTTCGCTCTTTCTTTCTCTTTCTCTTTCTCTCCTTTTCTCTCTTTCTCGCCCTCTCCTTCTCTTCTCCTCTCCCTCTTCCCCCCTCCCTCTCCCTCTCCCCCCCTCCCTCTCCCTTATGTGAAATTTCCCCCCCCCCCCATCTCTACCTTCTTCTATCCTTTTCCTATCTCTTCCTCCTCCCCATCTTTTTTTCTTCTTTTTCTTCTTCTTTTCCTTCTTCTCCTTCTCTTCCTTCATCTCCTTCTTTTCCTTCTCCTTCTCGTTCTTTTCCTTTTTCTCTTTCTCTTCCTGCACCCCTCCCTACCTCACCCTCACCCCATCATCTTCATCATCCCCTCTCCCCTTCCCCCCACCTCGACCCCCTTCCTCTATCCCTTCCAATTCTCTGCCCCTTCCTCCTCCCCTTCCCCCTCCTCTACCCCTCCCCTCCTCTACCCCCTCCCCCTCCCCTCCTCTACCCCCTTCCCTCCCCCCTCCCCCTCCTCTCCCCCTCCCCCTTCCCTGCTTCCACCTCTACCCCCCTTCCCCTCCCCCTTTCTTTCCCCCACTTTTACACCCCCTTCCCTTCCCCCCCTCCTCTACCCATTCCCTTCCCTCCCCCTCCTCTACCCACGTCCCCTTCCCCTTCTCTTCCCTCCCACTTCCCCTTCCTCCATCTCACCCCCTCCCCCTTCCCCTTCCTCCATCTTCCCCACCCCATCCCCCTTCCCTTCCTCCATCTCATCCAACCCCTCCCCTTGCCCCCTTCTCTTCCATTTCCCTTCACTCTTTTGCCCTTTCCTTCCCTTCCACTTCTCCCGGCAACCTCACCCCATTCCCTCCCCCCCCTTCCCTTCTCTTCCCCTTTCTCTTTCCCTTCCCTTCCCTTCCCCACCTCACCACCCCCGCCCCCTTCACCATTCCTTCTCCCACCTCACCCCCCTCCCATTCCCAGTTCCCCTTCCCCCCTCCCCCTTCCCCTTTCCTTTCCCTACCTCACCCCCCTCCCCATTCCCATTCCCTTCCCCCACCTCACCCCCCCTCCCCCTTCCCCTTTCCTTTCCCCCACCTCACCCCCCTCCCCATTCCCATTCCCTTCCCCCCCTCACCCCCCCCTCACCATTCCCTTTCCTTCCCCCACCTCACCCCCCCCTCCCCCTTCCCCTTTCCTTCCCCTAACTCTAACCCCCCCCCCCCATTCCTTCCTCAGGACATGCAATCTTGCCTCTTCTTGCACAGACTTTTAATTCTTACTTGAGATCCTTTGAGAGTTTTCCTCTTTTATTTATATATTTTGCTCGTATCCCTTCGTTGGGAAATTATTTTTTTGTTGGTGTTTTGTTGTTATTGTCGGTGTTTTTGTTGGTGTGATTTATTTTTTAATAATTTTTTTCCTGTTTATTTTCTCGCTTTCTCTTTTTCTCTTTCTCTTTCTCTTTTTCTATTTCTATTTTCTGGGTTTGATTATATGTTGCTTGTGTTGTAGTTTTTTTTTTCAAGTTTGTCTGTTTTTCACCTTCATTCTTCATTTTCCCCACTTTTCCTCTTTCTTCGTATTCCTCTTCCCTTCCCTTCTTCTCTTCTCTTCTCTTGTCCTATTTTCCGTAATTATCCAGTTGCTTCCCTTCTACTATTTATCCTTTATTCCGCCCTTCTCCCAGTATCCCTCCTCCCTCCGCCTCCCCTCCCCAACCCCCCACCTCATATCAGCCACATTTACCCCAAACTTCCTTTCCTCAACCCCCCCCTCCTCCCTTCCCCTTTCCCCACCACCCCCAACTTCACTGCCTCCCCCCCACTCTTACTCCCCACTCCGACACTGTCCTCCCCCCCCAATCACCCACTCCCCCAACCCACCCACTACCCACCCCCACTCCCCCACTCTCCCTCCTCCCCCACTCACCCAGTACCCCCACTCCCCACTACCCACCCCCACTCCCTACCCACTCTCCCTCTATCCCCACTACCCCAACTCTCCCTCCTCCCCCACTTACCCACTACCCCAACTCACCTCCTCCCCCACTCCCCACTACCCACCCCCACTCCCCCACTTCCCTCTACCCACCCCCACTCACCCCCCACTCACCCCCAGCTTAATTTTCGCTGCTCCTCGCTGACTTCCCTCACTCGGGAATGAAGGCAACAGCTGGCTTTCATGGGAGAAGGGAAAAGGGAGGAGGGAAGGGAGGGTGGGGGGAGAGGGGGAGGGGGAGGGAGGGTAGGTGGAGAGGGTGAGGGAGGGTAGGTGGAGAGGGAGAGGGGTTGAGGGAGGGTAGGTGGAGAGGGGGAGAGGGGGAGTAGTGGGAGAGGGAGAGGGGGAGGGAGGGTAGGTGGAGAGGGGGAGGAGGAGAGGGAGGGTAGGGGGGAGGGGGAGGGAGGATAGGGGAGAGGGGGAGGACAGGGGAGAGGGTAAGGGTGAGGGTGAGGGAGGGTAGGGGAGAGGGGGAAGGAGAAGGTGAGGGAGAGTGGGGAGGAAGAGGGAGAGGGTGAGGGTGAGAGCAAGAGGGAGGGGGGGTTAGAGAGGAAGGGTAGAACTAAATAAAAAGAGGGAGGGGGAAAGGGCCCAAGGAGAGAAGGAAAAAAAAAAGACAGAAAGAGGGGGAAAGCTAGGGTAAGGGGAGAAGGGGAAGAGGGAGAATGGGGGGGGGGGTAGAAAAAAGAGACCCCGTTTTCCCTTTGAAGTGATTGCCCGTCGAGATATTATGTTATTTTTCGTCTTCTTCTTCTTCTCCTTTCCTTCTTCATCGTCCCGCGTCATTTTTATACGATGGCGTGGTTTACAGCGTGCCAAGATCTCGGATGAGGTAGGGGGGAGAGGAGAGGGGAAGGGAAGGGAAGAGGAGAGGGGAAGGGAAGGGAAGAGGAGAGGGGGAGGGAAGAGAAGAGGAGATGGGAAGGGAAGAGGTGAGGGGAAGGGAAGAGGAGAGGAGAGGGGAAGGGAAGAGGAGAGGAACGAAGAGAAGAGAGTGGGGAGGAGAGGGGAAGGGATGGGAAGAGGAGAGGAGAGGAGGGTGGGGAATGGGAGAGGAGAAGGGATAGGAAGAGGAGAGGAGGGAGGGGAAGAGAAAAGAAGAGAAGAGAAAACAAAAAAAAGAGGAAAGAAAAAAGAAGAGAGGGGGGAAAGGAAAGAAGAGAAGAGAAGAGAAGAGAGGAGAGAGGAGACAAACTGCCTTGATAAATCTGGAGGCTTTGTTATCAATTTTATATTTAACACAGGATGACGTCCCGAGAAAATCTAGCAAGATATTTAAATAAACGTCTTGAGCTTCAGTCTCTTGCGTAGAAAATAGTGTTTGCATCATGGCGATACTAATGGTCAAAATGTATTCTTCTTGGCACTTCTGCTCGAGAGAGGAGGAAGAAGAAGAAGAAGAAGAAGAAGAAGAAGAAGAAATAGAAATAGAAGAAGAAGAAATAGAAGAGGAGGAGGAAGGAGAAGAAGAAGAAATAAAAGAAGAGTGAGAGGAGAAAGAGGAGGGTTTGAGGGAGGGAGAAGGAAAGCTGTGAAGGAGACAGAGAGCAAAGGAGAAAGAAAAGATAAATGGAGAAAGGGGAGAGAGAGAGATACAGAGGCAGGAAGAGTTAGAGGATAAAGAGTTTAGATAGCATATAGATAACTTGACAGACGAGTCCACACACACACACACACACACACACACACACACACACACACACACACACACACTCACACTCACACTCACACTCACACTCACACTCACACTCACACTCACACACACTCACACACACTCACACACACTCACACACACACACACACACACACACACACACAGAGAGAGAGAGAGAGAGAGAGAGAGAGAGAGAGAGAGAGACAAAGACAGAGACAGACATACAGACAGACAGAGATAGACAGACAGACCGAAATAGACACTCCATCGAAAAGAAAGACCATTAGCAGAATGACGTTCGGCCGAGGAGTCGTTAGCAATGTCCGAGAAACAGAAGGTAAATATAGACACACGTTCCGGAGAGGGGGGAGGGGAAGGGGGGGGGTGAGAGAAGGGGAGGGGGAGTGGGGTGAAGGGTGAGACGGAGGGGGGGGGGGATCACAGGTGTTCGGGCAGGCGTGTGTACACAGGTGTTGTGACATGATGTGTGTGCGTGTGTTTGTTTGTTTGTGTGTCCCGTGTCTGTGTTCCCGGCTGGGTGTTGTTAATCCGCGTGTTGTGTTGTGCCAAAGGATGAATTGGTTGTTTTTATTGATATAGTTAGCTAGTTAGCTTTCTTTTTCTTTCTTTGGTGTCGTGTGTTTTTTTCTTTTTCTTTTTTTTTTCATTTGTTTTGTCGCGTTTTGGCAAAGGAAGAATCCGCTGTTTTGTTTTTGTTTATTTGTTTGTTTGTTTGTTTTCATTAAAATAACATGAATAAACGCGACTTTATCATCACCATCATCATCATCATCATCATCATCATCATCATCATCATCGAAGTGGCCATTCCTCTCAACTGCTGTCTCGTGTGGAGTAAAATCAGGAGTGGGCGGAGGAGAGGGGGGGGGGGAGGGAGACAGGAGAGGGGGAGGGGGCAAGCGAGCGCGAGCGAGGCCTGAAGTAATCTGATCAGCGAAGATTGAAAGGAGGGGGCTGGGGGGGGGGAGTGGCAACAGCAGGGCAATGGCACCGAACGACGTGGCATCGAACCTGGCACTGACAGGAGACGCAACCAT